AAGTTAATAAAGAAAATTAGAGCGCCACACGCGCCCCACGATGTAATACATCGGGGATAGTTAAAAAAAAAAAAAATTAGATATTGTTGTAATATCGATTAGTTATAGTAGTTTCATCATAGTTATCTAAGATAGTTTCTAATAATTGAGAATAAGTGTTGTCTAATTCATTATCCTTTATGATTAAGTTAATATCTAATATATTATTATTTATTGGAGAGAATTTAGAAGATATAGATATAAATAGATAATAGGTATAACCTGATAGATATAGGAAAAAGTAATCAGGTAAGGGTTGAGATACATGTAATAGGTGTATATAGCATTTACTATAGTCAAGTTTGATTACTAATCTTAGTACATAATTAAAATTATTATATTGTATAAAGTTATATTGATAAATATGTTTTAAAAATAAATTGAGTATTTGTAGATGTGGAAGTAGGAATAAATTTAGACATGCTAGCTATTGGTTATAGAATGAGTCTGGATCATATAATGTCTTGTAAATTGGTTCTTGCAATGCTTTCTTGATGTTTGATAATGAAATGGGATTCAAGAAAATAAAAGATTCTTTTGTAGATTTGCTCACTATATGTTTAGCTTTTATAGCTGTAAAGAATGCCATAGTCTGCTTATTTAATATATAATAAATAAAGTTAATATGGATTAAAAATTATTAAATTTTTTGTTAATGATCAAATAAAAAAATTAATTAAATACAAATAAAATAAAATAAATTTATTAATAAAAATTATTTTGTAATTTTCAAAATATTTTGAAATTATTTTAAAATTTTTTAATTATTTCGAATATCTTTCAAATATTTCAAAATATTTCAAAATTATTTCGATATTTTCAAAATATTTTAAATTTTTCTAAATATTTCTAATTATTTTTGAATTATGTTTTCTTTTCTTTAGTTTTGTTATTTTTTAAAATTTTGTAAAATAGCTGAAATTATTTCGAAATTATTTTGTTTCTTTTGCAATATTGCAAAATTATTTTATTTGAAATAATTTCATATCAATCACAGTTATTTCAAAATATTTTCAGTATGCAAAATCTTTTGCAATATTTTACATATTTATTCTGCTAATGTAGTTTGTAATAAATCTATTTATCATTTAAAAAAACTCTAAAATAAAGTCAAAAAAGTGTATATTTTTGTATTACTTAATACTTTGTTTATCTGATTCTTCAGTATTCATTTTATTATTTTTAATAATATTAAAAAATTTATATCTGAAAAAAAAAGATATATAATACAGAAAATATTAGATTTTGTAAATATTTAAAATTGTTATTAAATAATATGATACTAATGAGATTTGTATAAGTTCTGATTTTTTATTAAAAATTATAAAAATATATAATGATGCTTTCAATTAGAGGTTGGAACTGGTTTTAAAAATTTGAGTTTATCATATGAAAATTCGAGTTTATCATACCAAAATTCGAGTTTATCACATCAATCATTAATGATTTATGTGACAAACTCGAATTTTGATGTGATAAACTCGAATTTTCATGTAATAAACTCGAATTTTTAAAACCGGTTCCAACCTTTACTTTCAATGCCTTTATATATATAAATATAAAAATAAAAACTTGCAAATAAAACACATTACATTTTTTGTAAAAAAAAATAATTATTGCCAAAAAATAATTGTTAATAAGAAAAGAAAAAGATAAATGTTTGATTTAATTTGATAATTGTTTATTAGAGATTACAAGTATAAATTTTTTATTTTATTTGTTTACTTTTTATTTTCTTTTGTTTTATTTGATTTTTTTTAATTACAAATAAAAAAATAATTATTAGATAAGAAATTCAAACTAGTAATGTTATGACTTGATATAATTATATCTTAGTTTAATGCATATAACTATCAATAAAAAAAATGAAGTTAAAGAAAAATAAGTTTTTATAAAAAAATGAATACTAAACATTTATCCTTTGCATTATAACATAATCATTATCAAATTATTATATTAGTACTCAGATTATTATTTTAGTATTGGGTTTATTTTAAAGTTATCAACCTGCATCTGCAGATTTTTAAGTTCTCGTTCATCCTTTTATGCACTAATTCTCATTGTTATTGCTGCAAGTAAAGATGAACAATTTTCGATTCATAATTATATTTAGAAAAACTTCATACTAACAAATTTAAGTCTGATGTAATAATCCCACTATCTCATTCAAATGATCATTGATTAAAAAACGTAAAGAAAACAAATAAACGTATAAAAAATAACCATATGCATTAACTAATAATTATTTAAAAATAAAATATTATTAATCGCTCAATTAAATTAGATTCATATAAAAAACATCGATTTTAATTCATGCATGCATTAACTAATAATGATCTAATAAAACATTATTAATCTCCCAATTAAGTTAGACTCATTTAAATTTCAGTGATATAAAAACATCGTTTTTGATTCATGCTATATAAATTCTATTTGAGATGTCAAAAACGGCAATCTGTTCATACCATGTGATTATTTGAACTAGTTTCAGGGAAGTCGTTTTTAATCATATTACTCTTCGACTAAACTGAGCTGTTTAACATCCCTAGTGTAACAGTAAGACATATTACTGATTTTCCTCCAAAGTTTCTATTGGTTAAACCGACAAATTATTAGACAATACCTAAATCAACGTTTATGGAAAACAACAATGGAATTGTTCGAAATACTCTTAATGGAAATTTTTATTAATGAATTGTGTTGTCTATAACGATAAATTAATAATACGTATTTATATTACAATTTTATTATTGCTTATTTAAAATCTGATTTATAAATCTAATAAGACCCTCTGTGAGACAATTAAAATAATATTCTGATACATAAGCAGTTTCTAGAATCATATATCCGTATCAATAAGTACGTTGCTATTTTTATTACTATAAGTCCTTTTATAAACAAATAATCGGAATATGTTACTAGATCTACGATAATGCACCAAAAAAGGGTTGAAGTGGCTTTAAATACTCTAAAATTGTGCATTAAATGTGTTATAACGATATTGATGTTGTATAAAAAATACGTTTGACGTCGAAAGTGACATCGATGTGTAAAGTAAAATGGACTAAACTCCCTAATTGAATTTTAAAATTTGTAAATAGATAAAGAACTAGTGTCCAGCAACCAGATCAATAACAAAGTGCTATATTAAATGTATATGTTTTTACTAAACAGTGCAGAAAATTGTTCGAGTGAAAAAAACCAATGGATTAATGCGCGAATGCTTAAGGAAAATTAAAATGGAACTGGTATTGTCCCTCACTGCTTTCGCCACTACTAAACGGAAACCCAGTAAATGGAAAACCGCCAAATTGTTGAGTAAATGGATTATTGTCTGAATAGAAGAATGGTGAACTTCCACTGTTTGGATCATTTGGGTCTTCACCATTATCAAATCTCGCTCGTAATTCTAATAAAGTAAAATTTTTGTTAAGCATAAATACTTTAAACAACGATTTGGATAAGTATCATTATTTACCATCATCACTCAAGAGTTCATAAGCTTCATTTATAGCACTCATTTTAACGGCAACTTGATCTGGAGATAAATCACCTTTGTATTTGTCAGGATGCCATTCCTGTGCCAATTTTCGATATGCTTTTTTGATTTCTTTCTTATCCGCTTTCCTTGAAACACCTAAAATTTTGTAATAATCCTTCTTCTTAGACTGTTTGAGCATACGATCAGCTTTTAAATAGCCCTGTTTAATACGATTGTCAAGCCCTTGTGTCAAATCAAGTGCCTTTTTATAATCATTTAATGCTGCTTCATAATCTTCTTCTTCCATTAATACTTCTGCCCGATTAATCAGTGCTTCTACATTATTTTCATCTAATTCCAAAGTGTTACCACACCATTTCAACGCTTTTTTAACTTCTTTTAACTATAATAATAAGATAATATTAATTGCTAATTCACAAAACTGTTCTAGCGTCACCAACCTAATAAAATTTCGCTAACCATCGTTAGTGATAGGATATGAGTGTATATTTGTTATGGTTCTAAGTTACACTTTATCTTGAAATTTAATTTGACCATATAGCGAAATTTTTTTGGATTGGTAACGCTAGGACAGTTAATTCGTAAAGTTTGTTTAGTGATAAATGTGTGTGCATACTTACCTCTTTGTATGCTTTACATGTCCATCCGTATAATTTTACTAATAACTCATTTCGTTGACGGCCTTCATTCAAATTTTGAAGCTCTTCTTCAATTTCATTTATAAGGCCTTTATTAGGTGATTCTAGCAACTTGCTTATTGCTAACTTCCATCTATGTCCCTCAATATCATTATTAACTCTCTCCACTTCTTTTTTGATATTTTTAATAAACCTATGAAGTGTTTTACATGCTTTGTGCTCTGGATCATAACGAAGGCACTGTTTAAGACTTTGGAGCGCTTGTTCCGGATTATACAGCGAAAAATAATTTAGCAAACATAGGCGTATCGAAAGTTCCGGGTCATCGGGCTTCAATTGCGAAGCAGAACTAAAAAATAAAATTAATAATAATAATAAAATAATAAATAAATATAATAAATAAAAAGAAATAGCAATTCATTTAAAATATGCAATGTAAATAAATATACACATACGACAAATCTCGAACCCCCTCTTCCACTTCTCCTTTGGCTAAGTGGCATTGTGCCCTAATTAACCTTAGACGTGGAGAATGTGGCGAAATTTTTATCGCCTTGAAAACGTTTTCTATACATGCATCATGATTCTCAGAATTAATAGCATCTTCAGCTGTACTTATATAATTCTCTGCTGAATTAACTGATACAAGCTATTTTTTTATGAAATAAATTATTAGCTACTATTTTATTAAATACAAAATGCGTTATTTAGAATGAGTATGTACCAATTTTTGACCTTCATTATCTTGCTCGTTTTTTTGTAGGTATTGTTGCAAATCGGATTTAGCTTCACTTAATGATCCTTCCTTTATATATATTTTAGCACGCTGCAACAGTGCCTAATATCGAGAAAATATAAAAACAATTAATAAGTTGAATTTGAAGTTTTTTTTTTCAATTAGAGATAAAATACTTTGTCAAAATCAGGCTTCAATTTTAATATTGTAGTAAAGTCCTGAAGGGCAGAGGAACTTCTTTCTAAAGCTAAGTACGTTAAAGCACGCTTAAAATAATATAAATAGTCATTTGGATTTTGATCTGTAGAAAGGAAGTGCCGTATATGTTAGTGCGCCATAAGCCGTGGTCAATGATCTTTGAAAAAAATAAGTGCTTACTAATAGCGGCAACAAAGCTTTTCACAGCTTCGTCGTACTTTTGGTCTGCAAAGAATTCATTCCCTTCGTCAAAATATTGTTGTGCCGACTTGTCACAAAAAACAATTGAAGTTGTGGACAAGAATAGTGGAAGGAACGCAAAGACGAGACGATGAATTTTCATAGTCCTTGTCTATAAAAAAGCAACTATACTGTAGCGGTAGGTTATTAAAGGGAATAGTATACCCAACAAAACAGGAAGGTGAACAGGTGGTGAAGAAAATTAAACAAAAGACATGAAACCGCCGGAGTTCAACAGCTTCGTCGCATTTATATAGTAACATAGTGTAAAACAGGTTTAGGATTGTAACCATGTTTATATCCCAATTTTTTTAATGTGGAAAATATCGATTGGCTGCAATGATTGGTTGCAATTTGGCATAAAAGTATTGGTAGCTTCCTGAAAGATCTGAAATCACGATCAAACAATAAACGTAGCTACATTAAAGTAACTGTATCGGTATTATCACTATTGCCGTCTATAAATATATAAAAATAGATCCAAGTGCTAATACTTTCTGTATATAGTTAATATAGTTAAATACACTTACAATTTTGTAAATTATTTAAAGATGATAGTATACTTCTAATTGTTCTGAATTTCCTTGATCACACCGCCGATTGATAATTTAGTTGCATTGCAACTATTGAATTAAGTTGCTTTGCTTAAGTATTATTAAACCTAATTTTTTTTTTAAGTCAAGCTTGCCTTGATTGTTAGGTAACAATTACAAATTTAATTCTGATCTTACTAAAACTAATTCTAACATATTATAGCCAATTTAATAAAGAATAATGCTAATCTTAAATGGGGTGGGAAATTTGCATCTACCACTAATGATCAAATAAATTTAATAAATTTAATTTCATATAAAAAAAAGATTCGTATCTGGTTTTTAATTAGGCCAGACCAATTTAATTCTTCGTTTAACATAATTTTTTCAAAAAAAAAAAAATATTAACCAATCAAATTGCAGTATTAGCTTCTTATATATCACGCAGAGTGAATCTCACCGCAGGAGCATAGCGGGCTTTAATTCTGATTGGATAATCATGTAAATGCATCATTACATATACACTACATATATCACTTGACTTTAAACCAATTCACAGCGAAAACGAATTCGCAAAGCATGCGAAATATATATTTTGAGATTACATCTTCTGTCTATAAAATATTAAAATAATTCAGTAAAAAGTTTTTTTTTTTGGTATTAAGGTGAGGCCTTCAGTAAAAAATTAATTAAAGGTAGTGTACTATTTTAAAATTATATATAAACTTAATAGTAATTCTTTTTTATATTTAAATTTATAAAAAACTATATTAA